TACGACGCCAGAAGCGTGGCACAGAGGCGTGGTTGTGCTCTTCTTCAAAAAAGGTGACAAGACCTTGTTGAAGAATTATAGACCAATCTCGCTTCTGAGCCACGTTTATAAGCTGTTTTCGAGGGTCATTACGAATCGTCTCGAACGCCGGTTTGATGACTTCCAGCCTCCCGAACAAGCCGGTTTCCGAAAAGGCTTTAGCACCATAGACCACATACATACGCTGCGGCAGATTATACAGAAGACCGAGGAGTATAATTTGCCACTTTGCTTAGCGTTTGTGGACTATGAGAAAGCCTTCGATTCAATCGAAACCTGGGCAGTACTGCAGTCCCTCCAACGATGCCAAATCGACTATAGGTACGTCGAAGTGTTGAAGCGTTTGTATAGCAACGCCACAATGTCGATTCGCTACCAGGAAGAGAGCACGAAACCAATCCAATTGCGCAGAGGCGTGAGACAGGGAGATGTAATTTCTCCGAAACTGTTCACGAATGCATTGGAGGACGTCTTCAAGCTCTTGGAATGGGACGAATACGGCATCAACATCAATGGCGAATACATCACTCACCTTCGTTTCGCCGATGATATAGTCATCTTGGCAAGATCGATGGAGCACATCAGTACAATGCTCAGCGACCTGAGTATCGTTTCCAAACAGGTGGGTCTTAAAATGAACATGAACAAGACGAAAATCATGTCGAATGTCCATGTTGCACCCGTACCGGTAGTCATTGGAACTGATACTCTCGAAGTTGTCGATCACTACGTGTACCTTGGACAGACAATCCAGTTAGGTAGATCCAATTTCGACAAAGAGGTCGCTCGAAGAATCCAACTCGGCTGGGCAGCGTTCGGGAAGCTACACGATATCTTCACGTCCAAATTACCACAGTGCCTAAAGACGAAGGCGTATAACCAGTGTGTGTTGCCAGTGATGACCTATCCCAAGTAGCACATAAATAATATATTAACTAAAATAAGTACCGATTTATGTCCTAAAGTCATACTAACATTTTTAATCAGCACTGGTCAAGTTTCGAATCTGTTTAAAGGCATTTATTTTATCTAATAATGCTTAATGCCATATTATGGTTAATAAAAAAAGTATACCAATGTCAAAACTCCTATTTAAGTATTGGGTAATATTAATATAAAGCTGTTATCGTATTTCGGTGATATGAAAAACATTATATATTATATAAGCATTAACGTAATATTATTTAGTGCACTTAGTTGTATTTAGTCATTTTCTAGAAACAAAGGTTTTCTAATGGCCTATGGTTGTATCGATTTAATGCTTATCCTATATATACATTGAATAAAGAACAAGTAAAAGTTTAGCACCGATTTGTTCTTAAAGTATTCTTTAATCAAGCTCAAGCTCCTTTATCTTCTTAATCTATACTTTTATAAAACATTAGGCTATATTTTGATCAATATTAAGTTATTTATAGAGATACAAGTAATAAATAGATCGTAATTATTTTTTATGTGAAATTAAAATGTAAAATTATTTTATGTATTGTATTGTAATGGTGGCATTTTTTACGCATCGATGGCGCCATGGACAAAAAACGTTGAGAAAAACAAAGAAAACAGGTGGATATAAAAGAAAACTGAAAAAAGGGTAAACTAGTTTAATTGAAACTTTTAAAAATCAAAATAAAAAAGAAATAATCGTTTGATGATTACAAGCACTATAAGATAGAATCTGAAGTGTTAAAATACGGCTGTACCTAAAATGGGAGTGTGTTATACGATGAATTACGAGCTCTTAGTTTTGTGTCTAACCATAATACGATTAACAGTTCTACTACACTATATTTGAATACCTAACGCTTTAATTTTACGAGTCGCCATTTGCTTTCTTTTTCCAATTCTTACAAAATATTTAAAGTCAACTGTGTCAGATGAAAAGGGGTAAATAATCATTGATTGTGTGCACAGATGCCTATAAAAGCAATTATGTTGTTAAAACAATGCTAAAAAGCCTAAAATTCAACAAAAATTTTTGCTACTAGGTTAAATTTTCTATTATTTTTATTATATTAAAGGAAGTTTGCGAAGGCGCGTGTATTTTACACCATAAACTTGTATATTTTACTCCACAAACTGATGTTTGCAGCTTATTTCACACATAACGAGCTGTTTAAATCAATATTAAAAATACTTAAAAGATCAGCTAAGAGAACATGTCATGACACTTACACAAAAAAATAACTTAAACCGATTATATATTTTTAAAATCTATTAAATATACTTTTTTTACAAAGGAAATAAAACAGTAAGCATTTTTATAATATTAAATTAACGTATTATAATTTTGATTTACGCATAACTATTGTAATATAGTCACAAAAAGTTCAATTAGCACTTTAAGGTGCTAATTGAACTTTTTGTGGTTATTAGAATGCTTTTACCCGACTTTATTAATGCTATTATACAAAAGTTGTAGTGCTATTGCACAGCTTTTATAAAGCTTAAAGTCGTACAAGGGCCCAAATTTTACGTATAAGAGTCGTTTAAAAGAAATACGGTTGATATACGATTTTATTATAATGCTTAACGCTTGGACTCGTGCTATCATAAGTTTGATATAATGGTGTTTTGTGCTACTTGGGATGGCACTGAAACGTGGTCCTTAACTGCTGGCCTCTTAGAGAAGCTCAGAGTCGCTCAGCGAGGCATGGAGAGAGCTATGTTAGGGGTTTCTTTGCGCGATAGGATCCGAAACGTGGATATTCGCCAAAGAACTAGAGTGACCGACATAGCTCGCAGAGTTTGTAAGCTGAAGTGGCAGTGGGCAGGCCACATCGCTCGACGAACCGATAATCGATGGGGACGAAAGGTTCTCGAGTGGAGACCACGAACCGGAAGACGCAGCGTGGGTCGACCCCCGACTAGAAGGACGGACGACATCGTCCGAGTCGCGGGCGGCCGCTGGATGCAGCTGGCGCAATGTCGTCCGTCGTGGTGTTCAAAGGGGGAGGCCTATGTTCAGCAGTGGACGTCTTCTGGCTGATGATGATGATGATGATGATGACAACTGTTGGTAAGGTTTTCAGATAAAGAATCTCTGTTCATAACCGTAGTTTTACTTTATATCAAATCATGTTAATATCGTCCCACAAGAGAGACTAATATCGTACACAAGTTATAGCATACCTTTATTCTAAAAATAGACTTCCCTAGAAACTCAAACGCAATGTGGACTCCACGTCAGTACTAATAAGTAATAGATTCGTTTTTTTTACAACGTTATAGTTATATCTTTTGTTGTTCAAATTATTTTTATATAAAATCACTATTGTTTTTCCATTAGTTCCTATGATTTGTCTAAGGGGGGAGGACATTGGCACAACTGTTTAATGATCTTTGTCGTCCACTCTGTGGCGACGTAATCTGTGATATTTGTAATACCTATAAACAACATACCTACCATGATACCTACTAAGTCTGTGATAAACAATAATGCATTTGTAAGTGGCCATTCAATATCAGTCTTAAATTAAACTCATACCTTATGTATAATCTATGCTCATACCTGTGATCACGTTTATTCATTTTACCGACCTTTCGTATAGTCAGATCGTCAACTTACCAATAAGTTAAATATATCACCCTATATACCAATAAATAAATACATAAAATTCAGTAAATTGGTGATTCCATACAATATACGGTTAAATAGTAATTTCCCGCAGACTTGATGATAATATTTGATTGAAGTTCGAATGTCCCGAATTTTGTTCCAAACAATGGCTGTCTTACGCGGGCATGCCTGTCTAGTGAATTTCCCGCTTTAGAGTTATATACTTCAATCATTTACAAAGAGAATTTAATTAATATTTTATAGTTATACTTAAATTATTTAGTTTCGGTCGTCTGCGAACCATTGATGATCCATGGAAGTGGTCCGTGGAACCTCAAATTTATTACTATAATAGTAACCAGTAATAGGCATATAATAATAATATTATAAAGAGGTAGTTCTTAACTTTGTAGAGTATAATCTTCGGAAATACTGGGCCAATTATGAAAATTCTTTCACCTATGGGTGGACATAGGCTATAATTTATGAGGGCGAATTCGCGTGAAAACAGTTAGTACATAATAATTTTGGGTATTTTACGCTTAAAATTCATGAAATGTAAAATAATAATTTATTTATTTAGACTTAGGTAAGTACAGCATATTAAACAAAGTGTATACGATCCATGGTTTTTTTGTGCCAGAAAAAAACCTTGAAAATATGTTTCTAGAAAGTAGCGGAGATGGCTCACAAGATATTTTTCTCATTTTCTACACTTCTTAATAAAGTATTGGGATTTAGACACTATATTTGTGGCTAAATAATTTCTTAATTATCTCCAAAAATATTTACTCATTGCATCTGTGATAAATAGAGGATTAAATGATGACCAGCACGCGTAGCATGGCAAACGCGAGAAACGCTTTGTCTACACTCATTTGTCAGTTTCTCGGGTCGAGAGTGAGATATTGTATGGGCGCACCCGAGAAATGCGCCCATACTATATACTGTAGACAAAGGGTTTCTCGAGTTTGTCATGCTACGCGTGCTGGAATTATTGTGAATTTTAACAATTAATACATGATAATAAAATTAATACAATATTTATCTCTCTTTTGAAGAAAAATAGTCTCATTTATTTCTGAAACGATGTGATACTATGTAATTTACCTCGTTGTCTCTATTTCACAACTGACTGATAAATTAGAGACTTTTGGTCAACAATTCATTTAAAAATCGAGAACTCTGATGTTAAATTCGAAGTTGGGTTGATAATGATTTTTTCTATATTTTCTCAAGTCTGGATGTTGTAGTACCTACATATGTTGTTTCACATCTTTTAGAAGCTTTCACAAATAATTGTGTTGTTCATTTGATTGCACACACATACAACCTGCCTTGTTTAGTGAGTGAATTTTAATATGTGGAATTTGTAAAACCAAGAAATAAAAAGGGTTTAATTGTTATCAGAATTTGTTATTATATTATTGAGTATAAAATTATTATTAAAGCCCGGCAGATTAAAATAGCATACTGTGTTGTGTTATTGTGCTACATATGTAATGTTTATTTGCTAGATGCTTTGGCAGCCTGTCTCCTTTTTACATCCCAGTTATAAACTCTTGCCATATTGACTTCTGTAGTAGTCCATTGATCCCTGTAACAATACATAGTAATGAAACATGATAGAGTTATCATTTGAGTAAGTTTTTATGCTAATTTACATTGGTTGACTGGGCCCACATGAAGATTGAGTGATTTCTATGGGGCCATTTTATTTGAAGATAAATTGAAGACTGAAGACTTTCAGACTTTCAGACACTATGAACCAAACTAAATGAGCTGATATACACATAGTATAGACTAAAGCAGCATCACCAACAAACCTCTAGGAGTTTAATATTGGGCGGTTTGTAGACCTTAGTCCTTAGCAAATACCACAAATCTAGTTGCAAAAAACACCACAATTCTTCACTAACTTCTCTATATATACTAAAAATAAAATAGCTTATGACTACTTTTTGAAATACAGTCTACATATAGTGGTTTGAAATTTATTGCATTCTTTTCATTAAAGGTCCTTTGGAGCAGCTCAAGCATGAAATTTCCATTTAAAATTTCAGTTTATAATTGTATGGGTTATAATTATGTAAAAAACAAATACATTACCTAAGGAAGTCTAAATCATGTTCCACACATTCCAAGTTCTTTTTTGCAGTAGCCATATTAGAGGTCAGTAATATCTCAGCATCTTCTAGTGAATACTCCAGCATAACATTAGCACCAAGCCATAAATATACTGTCTTTGTTGGTGGAATATTAGCCTTTAAAAACATTTTTTAAATTGTATATTGCAGAGTTATAGCATGTAACTGAAATTATAATATATCAGTCTTACCTTAACAAAAACCAGGTCACTAAGTAAAAATTGTGTGTTCATTGCCTCGGATTGAGTTTTTAATTTTTCAATCATTTCTAGTGATCTATCTAAATCTGGTATTTGCTGACGAAGACGTCTCCTTTTTGTAGCTAAAGTATATTCCATAAACTTATATTTGCCATGTTGTTCATCCAACTTCCGAAGCACTTTATCAACTCCTCCGGAATTCTCAGGTAGACTCATAAATTTATCAACATTATCCTTTAAAGAAACACATTAAAATTGATTTAAAGTATGATAGAAATATACAAGTTTCAGTGTACATTACATAAGCAATAAGAATGGTATTGAAAAAATTGTAAAGAAATAAATAATTCTTTAAATTGGTGTAAATTAATAAACCAGATGTGAACTGATTTATAACCTCCAAACTAGATATTTATGACTTTTATTATTATTTCTGTGGTCTCGTATTTGTAGAATAAATGCTGTTCAGTCTGGATACTTACAACAAATATTGCTTCAGGAATTCCCGAAAAAGACTTGGAATCTTTAGAGTTTGAATTTTCAGTACCGTCTCCTTCCATTATGAGTGGTTGGTGAAATCTACAAAGTGAAACCCTAAATAAATTTAACAATAAGAGCTAAAAGTAAGTTGAAATACACTAATGTTTTTTAACAATTTAGATAATACTTAAATTAATATATAACTAAAATTAAACTCACGATCAACCCTATATTTCTTTTTAGTGATGCAAATTAGCGATGGGTGATTATTATTTAAAAAAATCGAATGAGTCTATTGTTCAGCTTAGTCAATAAAAGTCGATTACAATCGATGTTTGTTAGAGCCTAGGAATAACAGAGGTTTTTATACCTAGTTCCATAAATATGTAGCGAAATTATTTACCTAGAAATTATACTCTTTATAGTTTTCATATTGTTTATGTCACTGGTGGACAATGATTATTATATATTCTCAGCGAGTAGTAGCAAACGCAAGAAGATAATTTTCAATGGTCTGCCCTGCGATTCTGTAACAATCCAGACCCAAATTCGAATTCACTCATGTGTCCGAATTCTAGTCATTTAGTAAAGAAATCCTATTGATTCCATTTTTTGTATAAAAATACTAAACAAAATTGATTGATTAAACGTGTCATAGATATTTTAATCCTATTTCATTTCGAAACTCAATTCACTTATTTCACGAAACATTATTACCAATTCAAGTTTGAGCGGATGCCGCTTTTTGAAGTGAATTCGGACACCCGAGTGATTTCGAAATCGGGTTTGAAGTTTTACAGAATCGCAGGGCTGATAATTATAAATTTGATTAAGAATTCAAGAAGCGTTTAACTTTCTACATCCAAACCATCCAAGTTGAAGTTTCAATGAATATTCTGGTGAATAGAACACAGTACGCAACTCCCAAATTGGTGACCCCGAACGAAAAGTACTAAAGGAAATTTTTATTTTCATCGAAATTTCAAGGACTAGTTTTCTTCAGTTTGTTATTGTAACCTGCGACCCCGTCGAAAGCGACACATCGAGCATTGGATTCCCGACACTGCATTACTGCTTCTGCTTCGGATTTTTCCAGCTACGTCGGTCAACAGGAAAAACAAAAGACGGTCTGACAGAATTTTCGCAATTTATAAGAACAGATGCATGGTGTTTTATATCTTTTTAGTTCAGCAATTTTGTATTAAGTTTTATTTGATTTAAATTGTTATTTTATTTCTTATTAAGTTGCATGTATTTTGTTTCGAACTGTTAATACCGTCACTCCACGTCAACTTCAATATTATTTTCAGTTTATTTTTGGTTGCATATTCTTAGCCTTGTCTTCTTGATCAGTGTCCCAGTTCCACATCATGGCTGAAGAGTTACGAGCGGAATTGGAAAGTAACTTATTCGTATTAGTATTGATGTCTATGTTTCGAACTTTGCGAATTTCAGTTTTTTAATACGTTAGTTAAAAGGAACGGAAATTACTTACTTTCGTCCAATCGCTTCGTACACATACATAATATAAATAAAATGCAAAATAAAAGAGTTTTGACATATTTTTAGATTAATAAATTAGAGCAACAAAGTGACATCTAGTGGCATGAAAATCAACTTGATGCGAATTGACTCGATAACTCGATTGCATAGAGAACGAGTGATATATTTTTTCACTCGAGGACGAGTTTGAACTATTCACTTGATTGATTCGAGTAAAAACAGGTTTTGAGTCGCATCACTAGTTAATGGTATATAGGTAGAACGTTTGTTGTGAATTTCATTTTTGGGAAAGAAAATCTAATTTTCTGCGAATTTTTATAAAATCACCGTTATTTTAGTAGGTAAAACAAATTTATGTCTTGAATAAATAAATATGCGTTCCTTGTTTGATGTTTACTAATAACTTGTTTCAGGCTTTACTCATTCTACGGCTACGCCCACTTGTCTTCCTGATTGTTTGACTTTGCTTTCAACATAGGCCTATCAGATACTGCCGTTATGGATATGATGGTGTCGACACTGCAACAGCAGCGTGCTGTTACTGAACAATTGAGACGAGAAGCTGCCATTAAACGTGTTCCTGTTTCAGTGGCAGTGTCTGATATTGTGAAATATATCAATGAACACGAACAAGAGGATTGCTTGCTCGTTGGATTTTCAAGTCAGAAAGTCAATCCGTTCCGTGAAAAGAGCTCTTGCACTGTTCTTTAAACTAGTTATTTTGCAGAATGCCGTAAATTTAAATGTTACTTTGTTCTATCATTAACATGTTTGATATATGTTATGTAAAATCAAATTGAATCTGTTATATTTTTAAACTTGCATTTCATTCAAAACTGATTTTTTCTCAGTTAGGTATAATACATGGATATAAAAATTACTGCATATTCCTTATGTGATGTACCTATTTTACTGCAGATGTGTATCTTTAAAATCATATAATCAATAAAGATGTATTTTAAAACCTCATAGTTGTTTTAATTTTTGTTTTGGAGTAATAAATAAAAATCAGTGTTTATTTTTATGTATATTTGTGCACTTTATAATAAATGGTAGCTAGTTATAGGTATATGTCAATTCCACTAATAGGAAATTTGAAATAATTTATTACAATTCCACAAAATATGAATAATGCACTGATTGCATGTAGACATCACATTGAATCATATTTTATTGGTGCAGCTGAATTAACATAAACTTAATTACTGGAATTTTATAATGGCTGTGATATTTTCTAAACATTAGAGAATATAATTTGATTCTACAATATAAGAGCAAATAAGGGCCCAAGTTCAAATATGTATGTTGTGCTTATTGACACATCATCTACTGAATATAACAGGTGCATATTATTTATAAATTATTGGAAAAGATTTCAAAACTTGAATAGTTAGGTACTATTTCAGTAGCAATCAAACTAGTATGCTATTATGCTACATAAAAATACAGAAGTAGGTAGATTTTAATAATAATTAAGGCCACCTACTTATTGTAAGATAAATGTATCAATGAAACAAATGTTATTTTTGACAAGAATGTTTAAATTTACTCCACTCTCAGTTTTAAATTGTAATGAGAGTAATTCATTGGCAGTGGAATTAAATGAGGGTAACTTATATGATATTTTTATAAATTGATTGAGCAACTTTTTTAACAAAATGAATAAAACCTTATTCTAGGGGTAAAACTATATAAAAAAAAATAAGTTTACCAACTATCAGTCTTTTGAATTGATGTTGTTGTCAACCTTGCGGCAATTAATCCCTCAAAAGTTTACAAAATGGTGAAAAGGAGTGCTAAAATAACATTTATCACTTTTTTTATAATACCTATTTACTACCATTATCTATTGTCACTCTTTACACTAATAATCAATACACAAAATGAATTTAAATTAATTCAAAGAAAATAATGCTAAAAATGTAGTTAAATAAAACTGAGAATAAAAATATTAGTAAAATATATCAAAATAAAACAAATATGTTGGTCTGAATTCACAACAGACTGTTTTTGAAGTGCATTATATGAAATGAAAAATAAATGATTTTCCTTAGCACAGAGTAAGTAAACTTCAAGTTATATTTTAAGAAGTTGTTGTGCCATTAAATAACTTTAAGATTGCCACATTTTACATGGTTCCATTACATTTCAATTTTATCATGAATCAAGTCATTAATAATATATAAAATTTTATATTGAAACTATACAACAAATGTGGGTTGATTGTTTCAATATAAAAGGTTTTCAAATATTTTCAGTGGTGTATATCAAATATTAAATTAAGATTTTTTATACACAAAACATTTATCCACATTGTACATGATACTTAGATCAATCTTACAATTAGTATTAAATATGAATAACATTCGTTATCAGCTCATATTCATAAGATTAGCGTCTTATAATAACTATGATCTATTTCATCATCACATAACTACCTGCTTACACATCGGCATTCTTACATATTTCATAAAGAGAGACAGAATCACAGCAAATATAATATTTTATTTTTACTTCATATAGGCAACTATTTGTTAAGGGTTTTGCTGTAGTTATGTATATGTTTAAGTACTAAAGGACATACATTATTTTTTAATGGCTAGTTATGTGAAGTTCTAATAATGTATACATGTTATACTTTTTCAATAATTCAATATTACGAAACTTCAACTATAAAAAAGGCCTCATTCACTTGGTGTACAATATAATTTATAAATTATTATTGCTTAAATTAAATAAAGGATCCCATTTTTTTATGGTTATTTTTTGTTGTAAGATCAATAAATAAGCAGTAACATGAATTCCATATGAAAACCTTGGAAAATACAGTGTAAAATAATCTTTGTAAACTTTTGAGATGTACCTACCATCCCTTAAAATAAATTGAGGGTTACATTAATAAGTTACCATTGACCATCAATTACTATGGATGCTTTGGTGATGTTCTTAGACTCTTTCCTGTTTAGGTGATGATACATCTTCTGAACCATTAGCAACACTCTGATGATACAGTTTTAACAGTTCCATTGCATCTTGAGCTTGGCGTTTTTCTAATAAAATCCTGTTAATAGTTTTCACATATATTAATTAAAATATATTTAGATGATATATATTCTCTGAGAGCTTAATGTAATACAAGGCATTACTATAAAGTTTATGAAATTGAAAATTGTTACATAAATGAAATAAAATAAAGATAATTTTATTAGATTTGGTGAAAAGCTCCTTACCTTCCAGAGGCTTCTTTGATGTGTTCCAAAATAATTCTATTGTCTCGGTCTGTAACAATATCAGCTAGACTATCTGGATCCATATCGGAGAGTAGTTCAAGATCCTGCCCACCAAGTAATGAAATGTGACAAAGATTATGTTGTAAACGTCCAACAAGGTTAGCAACTTGACTTTTATCTCCAAGGGACACTTCATCAGTTTGGTCTAAAGATACTTGACATTTAGGCATATTAGGTGCCCACTTTTCATTACCATGTAAGATCATAAGAGAAGTGTCGGGTTCTAGAGTGGAAAAATATTCTTCATCATCTACTTCAGTACCATCTGACTCTAAGACAACAGTTAAATTTTCTGAAGGTAAACCCAATTTATCTGGCACTTTTGTCAACAAATCTTCCAATGAAGATGCAACAATTCCTTTCTTTTTGTCTCGATTTACGTCGCATATTTTATACGGCTTGTTGTTTTCGTTGTCCATGATTGAAGTAAATTTGGACAGGTGCAAATTACTTCTTATTTACTATCGATTAGGCGGCTTTTTAATTGGAGATATATTTTATGCAAGTGATCGTAACGTTCACAAAATATACTAACTACTCTATCGTTTAATTTTCATACACAGACGTTTACTTGCACTGTATTGGGTTAAAAATGTTGACGTTTTGGTTAACAAATTGCCACACTAAAAAAAACACAACTACTACTTATTACAAAATTTCAGAATATTGATTATTTTACTAACAGGATTCTATTGTTTACAATTTTTTGACGAGAAGGCTAAGTTTTATTGACAACTGTGTATGGACAACTGTTTCCTATGAGCTTCGGAATATAACTCCCGCCCAATAGGCTAGCCGTATTTTAAGCGCATCGTCTGGCGGTTTGTATTGTAGGCAGGTAGGTATATTAGTTAGTAAGAGAGCACAGCAGTGTCTATTTATTACTTTGTACTAAGTAATAAATAGTTAATATAAATGTAATATTTATTATAAGGTATTCGTCGTCTAAAAAGTTGAAAATACGAGTACCTACAATGAAGAGTGATCTACGACAGAAGATACATCAAAGTGATAGATTGTTTCTGATACCCGATGGTAAAACGGGTATAGAGAAAGACCAGGGAGCTTTTAGATTACATGAGTTTATTTACCACCAAAAATATGTACTTTATAAAATATAAACAGCACCGACAACAGCTTTACGAAGAGAGACATTAATATATATAAACAATAGACGCGCATGTGCAGAACAGATTGTCAATATTTAAATTAAAATTAAAAAGATCTTAAACTAAGAAGGAGGTCTCCCTCAACAGTTTCCTCCAAGGTTAAAGTCACCGGTTTCTATACTCTATTGACTGGAGAAACTTTTATCCTTATCAAGTACTGATACTCAAATCAAAATTACTGAGATTTTCTATAGATACTTTCGAGACTTCGATCCAGCAATTTAAATTTTGTGTCACTGATAGTATTCCACTTAAGTAATATCTCACAATAAAGTAAAATCTGTCTTTTTTTAAGTAAATACTTATGAACGTATTAGTAAACTGTCGTACTATAGGTAATCAAACAAAATGAATAAGAACATATTGATTTAAAAGACTTTCAGAATTTCAAGTCCTTTTTAGAATGTAGCTCACGGGCTACACATAGCATGACGAACTTTAGAGGCTTGAGAACCGGGTCAACTACGTCATGCTATGCTACGCGGGCTGATCTTTTGGAATAAATTTTCAAAGTATAAGCATAATAAAGCATACTGTCCAATTTGAGATCAATCCTGATTGGTCCGCTGATGGAGATCGTTCACGTTAGATCAATTGATCAAGTTGACAGATAAATTGAGACGTTGTTGCACGATAGAATCGCGGGAATCGAACCCGGGACCTCAGACATGGCGACATCTTAAAACAGTTTTTTCAACTTATATCAATACACCAATAGATGTAATCCCCTAATTCTGTTTACTACCTACGGATGCGTGTTAAAGTGGGAATTGAGATCAGACAAGATGTAAATTCGAAGTCGTACATACAATTTCAAAAGTAGTTTTTATGTTGGACTGTATCGATTTTCAAAATTATTTTTAATTCGAAAGGCTTTACTTCGGATATAGGTAGTCTTATAAAAGTTTCATCAAAATGGGATCAGCAGGGTCGTTTTTATTTTAAATCAATTGGAAGAATTATTCAAATTACTTCATTAAAATTTATGATATTACCTAAAAATAGATTATTTTATCAAACTGATTTAAAAAAGCCAAAAATAATTGGTGTCTTAAAGGCGGTTCATAATATTTAAAAAATTAAGAGTAGCTCGGTGGCGTAGTGGATAAGCGCCGCGGCCTACAATCGTTGTTGTTAAGCAACTTTCGCAAGGGTCGGTCATGGGACCAGTGGACCAGTGGATTTTTTAAGCAATTTGTATTAAGAATAATTTAAATATGTTATTAAAATTATTTCTTTTTTGCAAGAATTTTATTTAATCAAAATGGCTGATCGGAATTCGCGGTGAAATCGGTTAATGGACATACACATAAATATGACGAACATAGAATCTCATTCTTTTTCCATTTTAAATATCTTATTAATTTAAAAACATGAAACGGTATCTAATCTATGGCAACTAATATGGCGTTGTCGATGTACTGCAAAATCATGATCCAGGTGGCAGACAAGGGCGCAGGGTCACGTGCGATCACGGCACGACGCGACGGGATGAAATCAATAGAATAGCTTGGATTGCCCCACCTCCACAACACCCATTATATTGCTACCGGGTAATGCAATTGCAACTTTCTAACCACCTACTCCGTAGCCCACCGTACCTACGGGCATGCTGTATCTAAATGCGATAAACTTCGTTTTCCTTTTAATCAAATTTCATTCTATGTTTCTAATTATATGTGTTTATATGTATATGTTTGACTGTGCAATAAAGTATTTTCATTCGTTTATTCATTAAAAATCGATTATTATCATTCATCTACATCGTGTGAGAATCGATTTAGAAGAATATTTTTTAAAACACAAAGAAGCGGTTTTCAAGATTTATACCTGACCCAAAAAATATATAAGAAGCCCGTGCTTTGCTGAGGTGCTTTTTATTTTATTAAATACTTCCCCATTGCCGGATCACTTGGTAAATATTATGTCCGTTTATCATAGTTGATTTTTTAAGTAAGTTAATTGTGATAAATAATTTATCCTGTAGATGGAAATATTAATAATAATATTTATTTCCTACCATAACATGTAGTTCAATAATTTAGCGGTTTTAAAATAATTACATTTATGAATGGAAAATACATTAAAATACTTACTTGTATTTGAGTTTTAATATAATACATAATTCTGCTATGTGAGGAGAGGGGTCTGCTAATGAACGCACCGATATTGGTTTAAACGCTTTCGTGATGGAAACTTTGACTTGAAGAACGAGCCACGAGGAAGACCCCCACACAGGTGAATAACCATGAATTAAGAGAGATGGTGGAAGCCGATCCTAGTCAAACTACCCAGGAATTAAAATAAAAAATTAACGTTACCTTACCCACAATATTGATTCATTTGCGTCAAATCAATAAAGTAAATATTGTTGTCTCATGTTTTGACTGATCTGCAGAAAGAAACGCATGTTGAAACTTTTGTTGCCTTGTTGAATCGGTACAGAAATGAAGGAATATTGGATCGAATTGTGACTTGTAATGATAAGAGGATTCTTTATGATAACAGTAAAAGAAAGAGACAGTACAAAATACTTTCACACAGTTGATGCGGTCTAGATCCTTAGAGTTCTATCGCAAAGGCATACATGACCTTCCTGTAAGATGGCAACAATGTATAGATAATAATGGTTACTATTTTGATTAAATAAAATTGTTAAAAATTAAAAAATAACTTTTAGATTTTCAGTACAAATCGGCAATTTCATACTTTAACCCCTATTATCATTGGTGTAGTTGTAATCCTGGGTACTTTTCTTTATGTTTTAGTGGTGTATTTTCTGTAATTGATTGCTGCACTTATCTTGAGTCGAGAGTGGGATATCCTATGGGCACATCCGAAAAAAGTAACATTTGGATGTGGACAAAACCTTCATGAGTTTGTCCTGCTACCGTTACTAAGAGCATATTGCAAAGATATGGACAGTGTGACCACACTGCAATACGCTTCAAAGCTTCTTTCACACTTCTCTGTCAAAATTGCAGAAAAAATGCGTTCCGTATGTAAACACTATCTTGATCGTCGTAGCAGAGACCATGTTTATTCTCATTGCTTTTTGTTTTTTTAGAACAAAATTATTTATGTGATGTTTTTTACTACTTTCTTCTCACTTACCTTATTTTGCTTTTTTTAATACTGTTCTATCTATTTGAGAATTTTGAAAATGCTTTGCTATTAGGGATCTAAATCTATGCTCATATTATAAAGAGGAATATTTGATTGTTTGTTTGCATCAAATAGGCTCTGGAACTACTAAATCAATTTTAAAAATTCTTTTACCTACGAGTAGTTCTATCATATAATTTATGCAGGCGTCGCGGGAAAACAGCCAGTTATAATATATAAAATAAGATGTCTGTGTGCAAAGGCAAGACAGATGTGAATGTACTGGTGAAATCTTCACTTTTTAATCTCCTAATCATAACTTTCTATGATGAGATATGAACAGTAGATACTTAATAAAAATTGTTATCATCAATGATGTTTTATTATAGTTGTGTTATTGATGGAGTACTTACAGAGGGCTTTTATTTACAGTTCAAACAAGTGTAATTATTTTTTGGAATACCAAGTACTAAGTTTTATGAACGAAGGTTTATAGTAGCTATGAAATTTTTATTTTACCCTTTCCATTTCCACACTGTTTTGCAGAGAGTAGGTACATTGCAGTGTAGGCTAGTGTGACCTTTGTCTGTGATATTTAGGTCGAGGTCGTATTCACCGACCTCTGTAGGATTACCGTCCCTATATACCTATTATGAAACGAATTTCTTACGTCTCGTTTGTCTGTTTATTTGACAGGGACAAACTCAAAAATGAAGGAATAGATTTTTCTGCAACTTCTGTTAATGGATAATTTATTATGTAGGACGATAGTGTCAAAAGAACGCTTCTAGTTGACATAATTTATCAAAATATTGGATAAATTATGTCAACTAGAAGCGTTCTACATATAAATTGCATCATTACGATACCCTTGCGGGACATTTGTATATTATAATGAGGTTTGGGTTAATGATCTAAAGCTTCTTGATGGTATCGTTGAGTATAATAATTCGTACTACATGATTATTTGATAGTACATACGCTCGTGTTATGAATGAGTATGAGATTGTGTATTGAACTTTGTGATAACTATATAAAGATAGTGTAGGAAAAAAGCTCTTATAACACCTATACCTAAAAACAAAGATAAGGGTAACATAACACAACACCGTCCTATTTCAAAGTGTCTACGGCAAACTATTGGAAAAAGTAGTAATTTAACTATCTATATAGTTCTATAGAACATTTATTTTCAGAAAATCAACACGGGTTCATAAAATCACGCTGCGTTAGTACAAATATATGTGGCTTTTACAGATTTTGTTCTCGAAGCAATGAATGAAAACAAAAAAGTCGACACTGTGTATACCGATTACTCCAAAGAAT